GAGGTTTTGCTTGATTTTTCAATGTTTCAGAGGGCTGAGGGATAGGCCATTTGAGCTCCCTACTCTTCTATCTTTGTTGACAGGGATGAGACTTATTTTTACAGGTAAATATATTAATACTTCCAAATATCTTTGACCGGAATTCCTCCAGTTTTTTCCTGATTGTCTGAAGCTTGTTGTTTAGTAAGTTACTTATTAAAATATTCCTAATCTTTCATATTCTTAAATTTAGTCTTTTTTTTTTTTTTCCAATATTGGGGATTGAACCCAGGGATTCATGCATGCTTTGTTCTACCACTGAGCTACACCCCTAGTCTTAGGTATGTCTGTTGCTGAAAGCTCTGTGCTTGTCCCTAGTGCCTGTCTAACATATAGGACAATGTTGTGAGAAAAAGGAAAAGGAAGTTTTATTGCTTTGCTAGCAAAGGAGAATACATGTTGGACTCCTGTCCCTGAGGCTGTGATCCTCACTGCCGTGGTAACTGTGGTCTTTAAAGAGGATACAAAGGCTACACTCTAGCTGTGCCCTGTCAAGAGTCATAATTCATTTGTAGTCTTGAGAGAGCCATTTCTCAAACCCTCTGGTGCCAGTCCCAAAGTATGGATTCTTTCCTTCCTCTGTTTCATGAGCTATTTTTTGACATTAAGCTTGGTATACAAAATTTCAGTTTTTTTATTTTCTTCCCTTTATTTCTTCTCCTTTAAGAGTCAGTAGTTTTATGAAAATATTTCTCAATGTTGATCTTTCTGGTGGATTTTTTTTATCAAGAACTTGCAGTGCATTTCAAGCTTTTTCATTTTGGTAAAGTTTTATTGAATTGTCATTTTCGTATGTTTTCCTGTTAAGTTACTCTGTATTTTTCCTTTGGGAATTCATATTTATGCTGGATTTTCTTTGCCTGGATTCTGTATTCAACACTTTTTTTTTAAAAAAAAAAGTCTTTTATTTCTTTCTGTTTCATCAGTTCTCTCCTGTGTTGCTTCTGGTATTATTATTATTATTATTATTTATTTATTTATTTTGAGACAGAGTCTTGATAAGTTTCTGGGCTTGGATAGCACTATATGGATAGATCTCTGGCTATGAACTTGTAATCCTCCTGCCTCAGCTTCCCAAGTCTCTGGGATTGCAAAGTGTGCTACCATGCCAAGCATCATTCATTATTTTCTGCTTTAGTCAGCATTTCTGCTGCTGTGACCAAAAGACCTGACAAGAACAATACAGAGGAAGAAAAGTTTATTTGGGGCTCATGGTTTCAGAAATCTCCATCCATTGAAGGATGATTCCATTGCTCTGGGTCTAAGATGAGGTAGAACATGGTGGAAGGGTTTAGTGGAGAAATGCAGCTCAGGACATGGCAATCAGGAAGCAGAGAGAGGCTCCACTCACAAGGGACATGCCCCTGGTGACCTCTCTCCTCCAGCCACTCCATGTGCTCTGTACTGAGCCACACCCTCAACCCATCAATCTGTACTTCAGCGTGTTAATAGCAAAATACAGAATTGTTACAAATTTATGGACTCTGTAGTGAGGTGCATAAGTGTTTGTAATCATTATAGCTTCTTGTTGTATCAACTCTTTTATCATTGTAAAATTACCCTCTGTATCTCTAACAAACTTTTATCACATCTATTTTGTCTGATATTGGTTTAGCCACCCCAGCTCTCTACTGATTGCTGTTTGCCTGGTATTTTTCATTTGTACTTAAAAAAAAAAAAAACTTTTTTTTTGTCATAGATGGACACAATATCTTTATTTATTTACTTTTATATGGTGCTGAGGATTGAACCCAGTGCCTCACATATACTAGGCAAGTGCTCTATCACTGAGCCATACCCTCAGCCCATCATTTATACTTTTATCTTTGAATCTACAGTAGTTTCCTGTGAATAGTTGGATCTTGTTTTTTAAAACTAGTCTGGCAATTTATGCCTCATGATTATTTAATCCATTCACATTTAATGGTACTATTGTTGTTATATGTTTTATATGTATACATATATATATACTTATATATACATTTTATATATGTTACTATTGTTATATGTTACATACCTTTTTACTGTCCACATGTCTCATAGTATCTCTTTTCTAGTTTCTTTTGTATTAAGGAAACATTTCCTTGTGCAATATTTTAATGATTTTTTTTCAGTATATATTTTTAAAATTATTTCCTTAATGCTCACTTAGTCCTTCACTTGTATATCTTGTTAGAATCTACTTCAGCTTTGTAGTAATTTAATTCCAGTGAAACATGGAAATGTTACTCCTATACAACCAACCCTATTCCTCATTTGGCCTTGGTTTCTGATAGTTTTGATACCCAATTCTTGGTTGACAGGCTTGGGTTTTTCTTTCAGAACTTGGTATGCCATCCCTCTGCCTTCAGGCCTCCACTGTTTCTGGAAAGCTAAAGGGATATTTTAGTGGTGTTTTCTTGTATACTGAGAGAGTAGTTTTCCTTCTCTTCCAGTTCTGAAGATTTTCTTTCTTTCTTTTTTTTTTTTTACTATGATATATTCTAGGTATGGGTCTGTGTTAACTTTATGCAATTTGCTGATCTTCTTACATTAATTTTTAAAAATTTTTGGATTTTCAGTCATTTCTTCTAATTTTTTCTTTGAGCCCAGGACCTTGGGCACACTAGGCAAGCACTCAATTGCTGAGCTGCACCCCCAGCCCTGGTGATATTTTTCCTCCTGACCCTGCTATTATGTATGGTTGATGTTCCATATTTCTCTTTGGATGTTGATTTTTCATCTTTCTTGTTGTTTGGATAGCACTATATGGATAGATCTCTACATTTGTTGATTCTTTCTACTATAAATCTACTGAGCTCCTCTCATGAATTCTTCATTGCATTCGTCTTTTTGAAGTACAGAATTTCCATTTGGTCCTTTTAAAGTAATTCCCTTCTTTATTGATATTTTCTATTCGGTAGAACATTTTCACCACACCTTCTTTTACCTCCAGCATAGTTTCCCTTCAGTTACTTTGAATAAATGTATACAAACATTGCTCCCAAAATCCAGGGCCTCTTAAAGTGCCCCTCCCTGCCCGAAGCCTGCTGCCCCTGTTTGCTCTAGTTCCTTAGGCAGACCATTTCAGTTAACCACCTGAAGTGGCAGCCTCTGATGTTCCTCCCTAGAGCGCAGCCTGGGCACTGGAGCTACTCTTTTCCTTGCCTCCCTGAGGACACCGTTTTTTTCCTTGTCTCACTGGTAAAGTTCGACTTGGTCTGCCTCCATAGCCATGGAATCCTATTAGCGTTCACACTGCTAGCCAACTTGGTGTTGTTTTGACAGTGCTCTTGGGTGTAAAGTATTCTGAAAAAAAAAAAAAGAGAATGAAACTGATGTGGTACTGGCAATAAACTCAGGGCTTCTCTACCACTGAGCGATACTTCCAGCCCCAGTTGCAGTCTGATCCAGTTAGATACAGACCCTGTCTGGTACCTTTGGGGCTTGCTAACCCCAGGACTCTTGGCTGCGTCTCTCCTTCCTGGGTGCTTCTCCTTGGTCTTCCTTGTTGTTTGTTACCATCAGAGTTGCCTGTCCCCTTAACTGTTCCCTCACATTAATATCCCTCATATTTGGCAGCACCCTTCCACTTGACCTTCTGTTATTGTCCTGAATAAGGTTGGTCAGTTAGTCCCTTTAAGGAGTTCTATGGAACTTTTTTTTTCATGGACCTGTTTGATGGCATCACTTCCACTGGACAGAACCTAAGCGCCATTACTTCAGAGACAGGGACCGACCCTCCCTGCCCCCATGTGTGTAGGTGGAGCAGTGGCCTCTGGTTTTCTCTTGCCTTTGGTCCCATGGAACCTTCACTTTATGAATAGACAATTGAGGCCCAGAATTCTGTGCGTTGTTCCTAGGTTAGTGCTTCTTTCACAGTGGGGACTGGGTGGAAAGCAGCCATTCTTACTGGGGAAAAACCCCCTATAACTGAGAGCATGGGAAATGAAAATCTTGAAGCTCAAGACTGGGAACTGGAGGGAGGAGGAGTGGGGTCATGACTCAGATGGCAGTCTCACTCGTTTTAAACAAGATTTAGATTTTCTTGAATAAATGTTTTTGTTTGCTGCATGTTCTTGTGACAATTTCCAGATTTGGTTTCAAAATTTTGCCAGTTATGGTTGTTTTATTGTGAAGTGATAGAGGAGTCCTCATCCTGCCATTCCAAGTGTTTCCTGATTGTTCTTTAATGTTTTAAAACCTAAGCCATGCGGATCCTTTAAATAAATATGTTAACAGCCTGAGAGCTTTTTGTGGTATTCAGTTGACTGAATATCAACATGCATCAAAAATAAATAATCAGTTCTTTAATAGCTGTTCAAATATATCCCATAAGTGAGAGTTTACAATTTATTTACAACGGCACCAGTAAATGTTACTTGACCTACTGTACAAACAATGCCGATCAACAAGTAGTACTGAGCTGGGCACAATGAGGTGTGCCTGTTCCCAGCTATTTGGGAGGCTGAGGCAGGAGGATAGCAAGTTCCTGGCCAGCTTTGGCAACTTAGTGAAATCCTGTCTCAAAATAAAATAAAAAATAAAAAGGACTGGGGATGAAGCTTAGTGGTAATGTGTCCCTGGTCGGGGGGGGGGGGGGGGAATTAGTCCTGGAATAGTTTGTTGAATTTTTATTTCCATCTTAGTAGATTAAAAACTACAACTGTAAATGGTTCAAAGATGTTAAGAATCATAGTGTAGGGGCTGGGGATGTAGCTCAAGTGGCAGCGCACTCGCCTGGCATGCGTGGGGCCCGGGTTCGATCCTCAGCACCACATACAAAAAACAAAGATGTTCTGTCTGCCAAAAAAACCCTAAAAATTAAAAAAAATTCTCTCTCTTAAAAAAAAAAGAATCATAGTGTAATAAAATCAAAGATAAAGTCAATCTCAAAAATAGAGAATCCTGACCCTTCCCAGGTAACTTAAGAACTCCAAAGTTTTCCTCATCTTAAACAAGAATTGTACAAAACTACAGAATATGAGTGTTAGAAGACCAATTTATTAAAATCAATAGGATTTAGAAAACAAACAGAAATGTGAAGAAAGCAGAAATAAATAGATGATTTACAAAGAATTATAATTGAACTCTAATCATCATCAGAGTCTGAATCATATTTCTTTCCTCGGATAGTTTTCTTTTCCAGTTTTGTGAAGTTTGTTCCACATTTCTTTTGGCTCTGAAATGGTGGTTCCATTAAATTTCCACTAAAAACAAAAGAAAATTGAAAAGCATTTTATCTTTATGATGCAATACATTTGGTATACTTAATTACAAAAAAGAAAAAAAAAACTTTCTTCTTCACTGTAACATCAAACATTTGTAATAGTGGAATATTTCTTGTTAAACGCCAGTGTCAGAAGTAGAATATGTGTGTATGTGTGTGTGTGTGTGTGTATTTATATTTAGTAAGCACAGGATTTATTGAAGAACAGGAATAGAACTCACTGAAGTACAAGGAGACCCAATAGCAGGTTTTCTCCCAAGAAGTAGAATATTTATATTAATGAATAATAGTTTTATACCTTATTTTGTACTGCCAAATGTTTCAGATTTTTTTTTTTTTACCATTAATTATTAATTAACATTTTACAGGCCGTGCTGATATAACTTCTGACTGAAAAGTTCAGAAAGAAGGCAAGTGTTTTGGTTCGTTGGTTCCGGAGATGCTTAACCTGGGTGAGACATTTTACTAGCAGAATGACAGCTGCCATGATTGGTCTGGTCCTGTCGAACATTTCTACATGTTTAGATGTACAAGTTAGCAAAACCCATAGAAGTCATTATTATTAATCTGGAATTGGTATAGAACTTTTTTCTTTCTTTTTAAACTCCCTTTAATGATGCTTGAGAAATAGACAAAATGAGATAATTTCTTCTTTCAAGTGTCTGGGGAGTATTCCTAGCACCCAGATCTTGGTTTTGAAAATCATTTGACATTGAAAAGAAGAATGGTTCCTTGCAGAAATGGCTACTTCCAGGGAGAGTACAATGATAGCCTCCCTATCATTGGAGCAGGAAAGTAGGGCTCAAAGAATTATGGACATGTTAAAAGAACAGAGGTCAGTATGACGTGGGCTCTCATTGGCCAAATTTGAGGCAATTTGAGCTTCCAAGTAAGTGCTAACAGAAAAAGACTATAATTCAGTGAATAAAAATTAGTCCCTCTTCATACTAACATCTCTAAATAATCAATGTAGAAGACAGAATGGTTCCTCATTAAATTACCCTTTGGCAAGATAAAAAAGTGGTCAACCTTTTCTCAGTCACCACCAGAAATGAGACAAACCATCATATGCCTGCTAATATCATGCACCAAGGAGAAGGGACACAATATCACCTTTGTAATATGGCTAACAGTAACATATGATCTGAATCTAACCTTAAGAAAACATAGCATAACCCCAATCTAGGGGGGGTTTTACAAAATTACTAATCTGTACACTTCAAAAGTGTCAATGCCTCAAGGAATGAAAAAGTATCCAACTGTTACAGGTTAACGGAAACTAGGCCCATAATGACTAAATGAGAATTTTTGCGGTATGAAGAACAATAATGGGATGATGGTAAAATTTGAATAGGTTTATAAATTACTAATTGTTTTAATAATTGTACTATGGCTACATAAGAAAATTTCTTTACTCTTAGAATATACATATGTAAGTACATAGAAGTAAAGAGATATGACATTTATAACTTCCACATAAATGGTTCTGAAAAACATTTATATGTATGTGCAAAGAGTATATTAAAAAAATAAGAAAGTTTAAAATTGGGGGTTATAGGTAAAGGACACATGAGATTTCCTTATCCTATTTTGCAACTTATTTATTTGAACTTTTTCAAAATAGACTTTTCCATGTGTTTTGAAAGGCACTATGACTCTGGAATGCTAACTAACTACACAATTTTACCTGTTATTTATTTATTTATTTTTTTAAAGAGAGAGAGAGAATTTTTTTAATATTTATTTTTTAGTTTTCGGCAGACACAACATCTTTGTTTGTATGTGGTGCTGAGGATCGAACCTGGGCCACACGCATGCCAGGCGAGTGTGCTACTGCTTGAGCTACATCCCCAGCCCACCTGTTATTTTTTCAAATCAAGAACAGGAACAGGGGCTGGGGTTGTGGTTCAGTGTTAGAGCATTCGCCTAGTATGTATGAGGCCCTGGGTTCAATCCTTAGCACCACAAAAATAAATAAATAAAGGTATTGTGTCCAACTACAACTAATATTAAAAAAAAAAAAAAAAAAGAATAGGAACAAACCCAAGATGGTAGGTTCTGATTTGTGGAACTAGATAAATTATTTATCTAGAGGTGGACAAAGAGATGAATATCTAAGAAAGTCAAGTTGACTTTACATTGTTTACTAAGACAATTGTCCATAGTAAGGAATGTAAGCTAAGTACAGAAAACATTTTTACTTTTCAGATTCTGCAACAGGAGTATCTACATTAAAAATCTAATGTTTTAAAATATAACCTTCAGGGTATAGCACTTGCCTAATAAGTCCCTGGGTTTGTTCCTTAGCATTGAAAAATAAAAACAGACAAACAAACTCCCCCAATATAATCTTCCTTATAGCAGCATTTTTTTTTTTTTTGAGAGAGAGAGAATTTTTTTTTAAATATTTATTTTTTAATAAATATTTCGGCGGACACAACATCTTTGTTTGTATGTGGTGCCAAGGATCCAACCCCGGGCCACACTCATGCCAGGCGAGTGTGCTACCGCTTGAGCCACATCCCCAGCCCTTACAGCAGCATTTTTAATTTCATCAAAGGGAATAATTTATGTCAGTATAAAATTGGGGAAATGGGGCTAGCTCAGTCATAGAGTGCTTGCTTGGCATGCACAAGGCTCTGGTTTCCAGGGCTGCAAAAAAAAAAAAAAAGAAAGAAAGAAAAGAAAAATAAAGGAAGAAAAAATTGGGAAGAGTCTACTTGGAAGTGTCATTTTGTGTTTCCAGATTAATACAGAACTAGTTTCAATATTCAGTTGAAAACTTTTTTAGTCAGGTGTACTCCAAGACTCAAGTTTTATCTCTAAATCTCATTTTGCTTTAAGATTATGCTAATGTATGCTTCAAAGATGCTCTTATGCCAGGAATAGTGGCACATGCCTGTAATCCCAGATACTTGGAGGCTGAGGCAGGAGGATCACAAGTTTGAGGATAGCCTTAGCAACTTAGCAAGACACTGTCTCAAAATGAAAAGTAAAAAAGGCTGGGGATGGAGCTCAATGGTAGAGCACCTCTGGGTTCAATCAGGAGTCTTCAAGGAAGCCTGGGCAACTTAGTTTTCAAAATAAAATACAAAGGCCTAGGGATGCAGCTCAGTGGTAGAGAGTTTGCCTAGCATGCTCAAGTCACTGGGTTCAATCTTCAGTGGTGAGAAAAAGAGGAGAAATAAAATAAAAGAAGCCTCTCCTTTGAGAAACTATTCCCATCTCAGCCTAAAAGTCTTAATTTCATAAAATAAATATTAAGACACAAAAATCCTCTCTAAATATAACAACTAGATAGAAATTAAATTGGGCTGGGGCTGTAGCTCAGTGGCACAGCACTTGTCTAGCATGCGTGAGGCACTGGGTTCGATCCTCTGCACCACATAAACAAAATAAAGGCATTCTGTCCATCTACAACTACAAAGAAATAAAAAGAAAAATTAAAATAAACCTATTCTTTTGCTAAAGGTTACCTGTAATTTAGAATATCAGAACAACCGAGTCTCCACTCTAATGTTTCTGTGGTGAAGTCATCTGTATTTCCTAGGTCAGTAAATCCAACAACATAATCTTGTGTTTTCCCGTCTTTCAAGAGCGCGAGTGTGGGGATGACTTTGATACGCAGTCTCTCACAAAGGAAAGGTGCTTTTTCCACATTCAGCTTTAAAAACTTGGTCTCGAGATGTTTCTTGGAGAGTATCACCAAATGTCTGTCTAGTATTTTACACCTGTGAGTAATAAGTAATAATTATTACCTGTAAGTAGTAAGTAATAACATACCAAGTCAAAAGTTAAAGCTATTGATTTTCTTTTTAAAAAACAAGTATCAGTGTGCATCTGATTTTAAAGTTTTTCTGTTTGAGCATTAAAATGTGGCAGCCAACCAAAGCTTGTGTTGGATGACCACATTTCCAAGTCCTGAGTTAACTGCCTCATGAGATGTATAAAGACACCCTAGCATCCTAGAAAGTAAAATTGGCCCTAATGATAATTATTTAAAAAACCAAAATATTAAATACATGCTTTAAGTCATAAAGGGCTTTTTGAATAAAAGGAGTCATATTCATGGTAAGAGCCAAAAATTAAGATGTTGTTTCACTTATGGATGTTTATGGCATCTTATACAGGATAGTTTGAAGAAGGACAAAGCTGAACTTGAGAGAGCTCAGAAGAGACCTATAAGACTTATAAGTATACATCGTGTCATATCTGAAGTCCAGAAAGACTGAAGAGTGTCACCAAAACTCTTCTGACTGTATCATTGAGAAGCACATGAGGTTAAGGGTTACAAATAATACATCAATCAATATGGCCATTTTAGTTCTGAAGAATAGAGAAATGAAGGAGCAACTTTAACATGCTGACTAGAATATAATATATATATAAACACATATATATAATATTAATATACATAAAAAACATACTCAAATATCATGAAACACCACCAATTAGAAAGCCGTGCCCGCCCACCCCAATACTGAGAATACACACACACACACACACATATACACACATATCCACATAAAAACACACACATGTATTAAAAAGGGAAAAAGCAGAAATGAATAATTCTGTTCTGATGAAGAATATTTTTATTTTCTAATTGTAGGTGGACACAATATTTTTATTTACTTTTTTCTATGTGGTGCTGAGGATCAAACCCAGTGCTTCTCACATGCTAGGTGAGTGCTCTACCATTGAGCCACAACCCCAACCCTCTACTAAGAATTGTAAGAGTACATTTCTTTCTTTTTTACTGTTGCACTGGAGATTGAACCCAGGGCTTTATGCACGCTAGGCAAGTGCTCTAAAACTGAACTAAACTCCCAGCTCTTTTAAAAAACCTTTATTTTGAGACAGGGCAACACTGTTACCCAGGCTGACTTCATACTTGTGATCCTCCTGCTTCATCCTTTAAGTAGATGGTATTACAGGTATGCTCCACGACACCTGGCTTAAGTGTACATTTCCAAGATGTTTTTAGAGTCATGAAAACATAATTGAGGAATTAGGAGCCATTTATAAGGGAATATTATTGCCTTTTGATAATATTCATTTTTTTTTGCATGTCTTTAACTTAATCACTAAAATCACAACTTTAACATGCTGATTAGAATATTAAAAAATGTACTCAAATATGTTTTGATACAAGTTGTTCCTTTTAGTTTTCTATCAAGGCAGTATATCTTCATCCAAACATCTCATCATATTTTAAAGAGTTAGTCAAGGAAGGAAACAAAGTTACCTGAATGTGGAGTCTCTGTAGAAGTGGCAAACCACTTTTTTACTCTCCTTGACTTCTTGAAAAAACTCTCGCTCACTAGGGATTTCTCTGTATTCCCCATGTCCTTTAGAAAGCCACTCCTAATTTGGAGAGAAGAAAAGATTATACACGTGAAATTCCCCTTTCAGTACCATTTGATATTTTGTCACTATATTATTTTGTAATGAAGTCAATTTTATCTTCTTGGGAAATGAATTACTTTTAGCAGGTTTACTTTCCTATGTTTCTAGTATCAATGCAAAACTAGTCTGTGGACAGTGACTGTCTCCATAGCATGGCTCAGATTTATGACAATTAGCTCTCTTGATAATTTAAAACACTTCTTTTCTCAGAATTTTCAAAATACAAATTTAAGACTCAAGAGACTTAAAATATAAATGTACATTTAATTTTTTTACATTCTTAAGCTAATAAAGCATTTGATTCAAGTTATACAAAGCTTTTTATCCTCTTTGGCAGTGCTAGGGATACAGTCTAGGGCCTCATGCTTGTAGGCAAGTGCTCCACCACTGAGCTACCCATCTAACCGGGCAAAAATTTTAAAAATGAAGTTCCATGCAGAGAAAAACCCAACCAAACAAAAAAACCCAGTCAGTCTTGGGGTCAGGGAGGTTACTGCAGTTTGGAAGCTTGGGAACCCTGTGTGCTTCTGATGATTACCTCATAAGAGACAGGTTCTATACTGGCCACTGATGGACAATGAAAAGAAAGAGTAGTCTTACTCTCACAGTCTAGAACCAACAAAGATCTCACATCTAATCCAACTTCTCAAACCAATATCAGAACCCATTATCAACCAAGCCTGAGAGATTTTGAACCATTCCTGCAGCAGGAAGCATATCACCTCTACTGGAAGCTCATTCCCCCCTTTTAGTAATCTGGTTTTAATGAAAAGGAACACTGGTTGCAGGCAGAAGGCACAGGTTTCAATACCTGTTCCACCACATATTGGGCTAGAATTCTAATGACTTTCCTGACTCAATGCCCTCATTTGTAAAGTGGACACAATAGAGCAACCACTTCATTTTTGGGCTGCTGTGAAAACGAAAGAAAGACATCTATGTAACCATGCCTAACAGCGCCTGACACATGCGTAACAAGCACCCGGGCCCGGAGTAGTTTTACAAAAGTCTTCTCATACTGAATGCAACAGCAACTTTAATGTGCAGATCCCAGCTTAGACTACGATTAGAGAGAAAAGTTTACATTTCTTCCATATGTCAGCACCTCAAGTATTACACGTGGCCTGTTTTCCCTGATGTTCTTTTCCCTGGGTTAAAATTTTCATATGTATATACATATATACCCTTACACACACACATATGTGTGCATATAAACATATACATATACAATATACACATAGAGATAGGTTTTTTTTGGTGGTGTTAGGGGTTGATCCCAGGGTCTTGCTCAAGGGGTAGGCAAGCACCCTATCACTGAGCCACACTCCCAGCTTCCTACCAAAATTTTTAACAGTGATGGATGTTAAATTAAGAAAATTCTAAAAATGAGGACTGAAATGTCTAGCCCATGTATATATAAGTTGTTAGGAGCATACTGTTATAGCAATTTCAGAAAGCAGGTCAGAGAGGTTACTTGTTTCTGCTGTTGAGCTTTCCTTAGTGCCTCAAGTCTCTTTTCTTTGAGGTGTTCCAATTCGTCCTCGTCCATCTGATCCAGTTTCTGAATTTCAGAATCCAGATGTTCTTCTACTAGCTTGGCCGACTGAAGCAACTGGTCCTCCAAGACTTTTGAAAACATGTCGACAGACGCGTCAGCTTCCATTTTTCTAAATTGTATAGTTCAGTCCTGATACTGGGAAGAAGGTTGACAAACTTTAGAAATAAAGCAAACATTTAGCAAAGTTTTCTCTCATTTGCAAAAATTCTAGCAAGGTGTACTCTACAGAGTATTCTGCCAACACCCAAGCACTTGATTTTATGTGTTAAAATTTCATTTTCAATAGGTTACAGTCACATCAAAACTTCAGAAAAATTAAAGCTTTTTATGTTTTTGTCATAGCCAACTAAGGAGGAACTAGAGTTGATGATAATGTATTTCTATACAAATTAAACCAAGGAAACAATTTTAACTTGAAATTCAATCGAAGACTGAAATGCAAGTACTCAGAGCAAATGTCAGGTGCTTCTATTTAGTTTGTTTTATTACATTAAAACAAAGATAAATCATTAGAACCATCACCAGACTACAGAGAAATGAGTTGTGCAGTTATACCTAGGGTTGTATACTGACAATCATGTTTTTTACCAAGGTAAAGGGAAGAAAAGCAAGAAACAACTGTGAACAATGGTTTTAGGTGTTCACACATGTGCCAAAATTTGCTTCAACACTGGCTGTGCAAAAGACAGCTTTTTCACGGTCACCATCCTGTGAGTTTCAAATCCTTTAACTTACAAGAAGTCTCATTATAATTTCTATAAAGAATGTTGCCTGTTGTTCCATAAGCATTAATATCCATTCCTTTTCTGTTACCTGACAAAATCTATGAGATTGCAAAAATTGATACTGTTTTCAGCTTGTTGAAATTCAGTATTCTTAACTTGAATGTAAAACAATGTAACACTTTAAATATTTTCTTAGATGTTTTCTCCCTAATCATTCTTTATGAAAAGTAAGTTTTAAAACAGAACTCAGATTAAAAAAGATCTCAATTGTATATTTAAAGAGTATTTTCTACCACTATCAAAGGGCAATTTAATGTGTATCCCCCGGTTATTATCCCAGAAATATAATTTGCCTATCAAAGCAAGAAGCTGTTGCATCTCAATAAACTAAAACACATTTACAAATAATATTGGAGCACTTTAAAAATCTGAACAAAATGTAAACTCATTCAGTCAGCTTCTGACACTGGACCTGGCCCTCAAAGAGCCTCTGTGAAGAAAGGTTGAGTTTAGGGAAATATTATTCTTCCAAACATCACTTCTAGTTCCTTTTTCTTCACAGGAAAAGCAGATGAAATGCTGATTTTATTTTTGTATCCCCAGATCTAGCAATGTTTAGACCCAGCAGGTATTCAATAAATGTGTTTAATGTTAAAAGAACATAGCATCGTTTCTGTCAACTGTTCAAGTAGCAAAGGTTTGAGTTTTAAAAACCAAACTTTAAGCACCTCATCAATGCTATACAATTAAAAAGGAACGTACTTCAAACATAGTAAATAAGATTTCCAACTCCCCTCGCCTCAAATGTCAGTATCAATGTGACCACAGCTGACGCTTATCCTAGAATTTTATAGGATGAGCGCAAAATTTAATTCTGGGCTAACTGGGAACAGAAATGATTAAGCAGAGCAGTGTTGGGCTCAGATGGCGGTGGGCACTGCATTCAGAACGGGGTGAAGGACATGGTGCGGTGGTCCCCATAACTTTTCATACCTCAAGGATGGGGAAAGGACACCGAGTGTCCTCAAACTTCCTAGCCATTTCCTTGGTTCCTCTGGAGACACCCACCAATACACCCAAGGGCCTCGTCCTTAACCGTCCCCCGGGATCTTTCCAATAGCATCCTGGCCACTCCCCGAAACCCGGCAGACAGACGCGGCCAACTGTGCAGCACCCACCGTAACGCTCTTGGGGCGCATGCGCCAGAGCCTCGGCCTCTGCACAGACACCGGCGTCCGGGCCGCGCCCCTGCCCCGACCCAGCCGAATATCGAGTGGCTATGTATCCCTCAGCACTGGGACGTGGTGGCCGGATTTATCACACCATCCGTTGCCTCACCTGAGAGCTCGGTGATATTTAACAAGCGACAAACCAGCAGCTCCAGGACAGCACCCCACTTTGGTTTCAGCCTTACAGCTGCCGGGGACTAGGAATCGGCCTTCACTTCCGCCTTCTCTTTGGGTCCGGTCCTCTCGCGATACAATCTGAGACGCCTGAAGAGGAGGTGGACCGCCGAGTGAGGAGGGTTTCCGTGCATGCGCTTTTCCTCTGCCACTCGGAACCTGTGTTTCCGATCCTTTTCTTTCTTCCGGGTGAATTGCTGGGAGGGAGAGGGAGCAAAGTATACTGGAAGTTGTAGTTTCTTAATGCACACGCTGGAGTTGTTTGACTTTCTACTCATGAATGTTACATCAGAAATGAGATCATGTTCAGAACTGACACTCGAACTTTGTTTCTCTTATGTTTATTGAACACGTTTCCATTTTTTCCTTTTGAATTATACCGTACTACACGATGAATTTTTAATTAACTCCTATAATACCATCGCCCAGATGGAGGTGTGGAACACCCGTAGCTTCTCTCCTGACTTTCGTGTATTTGGACACACGAATTTTTAGGACTTGGCCTCACTTTGCTTATAAAGATTAGGACTTATAGTAGGGAATTGGTGGCTATGTCCTGTTGTGTGTTTCCTTTTGTGACCGTACATAGTTCTTAATCCATTGCTGTTACTGAAAGGTCCCAATTTTGTCCTCCAGAACCCCAGACCTCATCATTGGTTTCTGTGGTTCTTTACTGAACTTCGTGCAGCTAAGAATATAAAGATTACAAGGAAAGTAAGTCCATGGCTTTCTTCTGAACCGAATGCCAATCCTGCTTTCCCTGCCGAAAAGGAGTTGACGTGGGGAGTGAACAGCCTCATTGTCTCCCGCCGGGTTCTAGAACCTGGAAACCCCGGTGCGCGGCTGATCCTTGCGGCAGAGGGCGCTCGTGCTCCTGCCTGGCCAAAGGGTCCACTGGCGACGCTCTACCCGAAGCGCAGCTCTCGATGAGCCGCGCCCTGCGTCCCCACGCCGAGGCGGCGGGGCGATGCGCTTGCGCATTGAGAGCTTACACCATATGTGCCCTGTCCCAGTGCGCGGGTCTGTGGAGAGCCGGGTGCGAGAAGCGGCAGCGCGGCGGGGGACGGAGCCGGGCCGAGACCGAAGTCGAACGGGAGACAGTGTGTCTGTGATTAGCCGAATAGAGGGGCAGGGGCCACGAGCGCCTCTGACAAGCGATGGGGAAGAAACAGAAAAACAAGAGCGAAGACAGGTAGGCAGTGGCAGGGTCCGTATGGCAGCGCCGCCGCCGCTCTGTGGGGCGCGCGGGTCCCGCCGGGCGCGGGCTCGGACCCGGTTTAGGCTCGCGAGGAGCTCGCGGGACGCTGGGCCTGGGCCGAGTGAGGCGGCGCGGGTTCAAGACCCCAGGGCCGGGCGGGCGCGAGGGCCTCGGCGGCAGGCAGGTCCTCCCCGCCGAGGCACGGTCCCACCGCTGCGGTTCACCGGGTCTGGAAAGAGAAGTTCCCGGCCTGAGGAGCCGGGCGGTCGTTTGCGGGTTTCTGGTCGCGCGCGGGGGGATCGGGCAGCTTTCCCGGGCCGGGGGCGGTCCGGCCTGCGTGGCCCAGGCGGGGTTGAGGTGCCGGCGCTACTCTTGTCGAGGGTCGGGAAGTTTCTCTTTCTGCCTTTGTACCTGTGAAGACTTGGGGAGGAGGGAGTCCGAACCCCGTGTACGTGTCGCCAGCTTTTTCTACTCTTTAAGCCGCTTAGGAACGTTGGAGTTACGGAGAGGGGTCTGCCAGTTCACTCCTTCTTGACCTAATTCAATTCGAACACATTTCTCATATTATTTTAAATGTTGATGGTCCAAACTCCATGCTTTTCGTTTTCCTTCTTCCGGCCTGTCTTTTGGTCATTTCTTTGCTCTCTAGCACCTCCCCTAAGAAAGGAGGAGGAGGAGGTGAAACAAACCACCAGGGTCGCCGCTTTCTAATCACTTAAAAGGCTTTTGGGGGTGCGAGTGTGTAAGGGTGTTTGTGAGTTACTTACCCGAAGATGTTTTGGAACATTTCTGTGTGTCACATCCGATTGAGTTTTTTATCTTTTCAGTAAGAGTTTGCTTCCTGGGAGTGAACAACCATCTGTTACTTTACACCTTTGTGCACTATCCTCCCAAATTAGTTTAAATACTAGGGAGAGAGTAAGGCAAATTAAAAACAAAACAAAACCTGTACTAGTTCATCATTCTGACTCAAGTTGGGGTCTTGAAGTTAAGATTATTTTAAATTGGATTGTTTCTTCCCTTAGCACTTGTCCAGCTCATGAGTGGAATTAAAAAACAACAAAGAATAGAACTTAACTACTAATTGAATAAGAAGAATAAATAAGAAGAAATAAGTAGAATTCTGGGTGGTTTAATGAGAAAAATTTCTGTATGTTTAACAATATTTTTTTTGATGTATACAATACATTTTTTCCTTGCTGAGAACAAGTTTCAGTAATATGCAAAAAGTAAAGAAATGAATATAATATAAACTTACATATTTGTTACCTGTTTTGAGCCGTTTAGTAGGACATGATCAATCCTGTTTCATCCACCTGTTGGGTAATCTAAAGCAGATTTTGGGTCTTTGATCTATAAATCCATCAGGTGTATCTGAAAGAACCCTTGGGGGCTGTGGGGGACCACCACAGAAACTACCTACTCTACAACAACAGTGCTATCATCAAGCCTAAGGAATGTTAACAATGATTTCTTAAACATTATACAATATTCAGTCAGTTTTCTAATTTCCATGATTTTCTTATAATAATTGTTTTTCCAATCATTTGTTTGGCTCAGGATTACACAGGTACACAGGTTTAGATTAAAAAAAAATACATGTTTGTATTATTCTGTTTCCAGGTTTTACTTTCTAGGCTCTTTTGCAATGGGAAAAATATGTATTTTGAAGGTGAGATATGTATTGTTGTCTATGGTGTTTTTTTTTTTAAAGGAAAAGTGAATGTCTCATTTGATTTATAAAAGATTTTCATGGATGTTGTAAGTTGAGAATACACACTTTAGAGCCTGTTAAATGGTTTAGTAGTATAGAAAGAGTGGCATTGGATTCCCTCTGAATGGGAGTTTGTGTTTATTTTATTGTTTCATGAACTCTTGGGCTTGAGTATCTTTCAAATTGTCCTAAGAAATCCTGAGGTTTTGTGGAAGGACCCTTTTGACCAGAATGGCTTGGTTTTTTACTTTGGTATTGTACATGAGATATTAAAGAGTGGGAGGAAGGTGAGTTCTACAACTTTGGGAGTTTTTCCTTTCCCTTTGTATATTCCAACGGTACGTTTTTTTTTTTTTTTTTTTTTTTAGGATATTTTGTTTTGTTTTTCTTGTGATGCTGGGGATTGAACCCAGGGGCAGGGTACTTATACTGACCTATATCCCTCGCCTCTTTTTAAATTCTTTACTTTTTATTTTTTTTAAATTGTAGATGGAACACTACCTTTAATTATTTATTTTTATGTGGTGCTGAGGATCGAACCCAGTGCCTCACACAGGAGAGAAGGACACTCCACCACTGAGCCACAATCCTAGCCCTATAATTCTTTATTTTGAAACAGGGTCTCACTAAGTTCCCAAGGCTGGCCTTGAACTTGTGATCCTCCTACCTCAGCTTCCTGAGCAGCTAGGATTACAGGTGTGTGCCATTGCCTTCAAGAATATTTTGAATATTCATAAAAGGGAAAGGAATGCAGACTAGGTAGAAGGTCTGGGAGGAGAAAATACCATTTTAGGTTACTATTCTTTTTGAGATATGAGATATATCTGATCAAACTTGTATGGAGATCCCCAGTTTAAATATTTTACTGTATTCCACCTCCCCGCCTCTCCCGGGCTGTCCTAAACCAAACACATTTCTAGACAGGTGGAACTGGGTACAAAAATAAGCAGCTGCTTATTAGTTGTCATAGTAGGGAAGGCGTGAAGCCACTTTTCATAAATTCTTGAGTGTTCTTAACTCTGTTTAGTGACTATTTTTAACTTCTTAGTTGCTCAGTGTTAATTTCCAATTAAATACAAGTTCTCACACATGCTAGGCAAGTGTTCTACCACTGAGCTGGGACCCCAGATTTATCTAATTTTATTTGTTTAGCATATGTTTATCAGTGACTGAGATATTTATAGTATTTTTTGAATTCAAGAACTCTGTTTAAAGACCAAGATCTAATTGGGCACAGTAGTGCATGCCTCTGTAGTCCCAGCAGCTTGGGAGGCTGAGGCAGGAGGATCAGCAAGTCCAAAGCCAGCCTCAGTGATTTAGTGAGGCCCTAAACAACTTAGTGAGACCTTGTGTAAAAATAAAAAGTGCTGGGAATGTGGCTCCATGGTTAAGCACCTCTGGGTTTAATCCCTGGTGCCAAAAAAAAAAAAAAAAAAAAAAAAGTTCTAGAATTCTAGTTTATCTTGTGTAATTTTGGGAATGAGATTCCTGATAGGGTGTTTGGCAAGTTTTCTTGCCTTTTTTCAGTTGACTAGGGAAGCATTTTTTTTTTGGACCCAGGATTGAACTCCGGCACTCAACCACTGAGCCACATTCCCACCCCTATTTTGTATTTTATTTAGAGACAGTGTCTCACAGAGTTGCTAAGTGCCTTGCCCTTGCTGAGGCTGGCTTTGAACTCCTTGGGATCCTCTTGCCTCAGCCTCTTGAGCTGCTGGGATTATAGGCGTGCTTCACTACGCCCTGGCTGGACTAGGGAAGCTTTTGATGAGACAAAGGATAGGATTCAGTATGCACAGATGAAACAATATAAGGCAGTATTTCCTTTTATTCTCATATCCTTCTTAGTCATCAGTTTGCATGAGAAGACCTTATGGAGATTTGTATGCGCTAGTGATGTCCTACTATTTCCTTTTACACAGTATATTGGGTGGTCTCTAAATGATGTGTGCAGAGAAAAAAAGATTTGTATTATCTAGTTTTTCCTATTCACCAATTTTTCATTCTGGTCTTTTTTTTTTTTTTCTATTTAAAGTTGGTAGTAAGTGTGGTAGATTTTTCAGAATATAAGGCATCTGGCATGTTACCTTAATTAATGAGATTGATATAACTTTTCCCCCACCAAGTCTCCCAGATGTACTCCCCTCCTA